GGCGTTGTTCCGTCAGTTTCTTCCAGGCCAATAACGTGGCCGTACTGAAGGAGACCGTCAATCTCTACATCCACGGCATTCCAGGCGTACAGAGATCTTTTAACTTTTTGCAGCTCGTACAGATGGTAGCACGACAACTCTATGACCTTCATCTCGCTGACCGACAATTTGCTGACCGACTTGTTGCTGACTATCACAACTTGCTGACCGACAAATCGTTGACCGACACTTCCCTTTTCTACAAACTTGCTGACCGACATCTTGCTGAAACCAATTTGCTGAACGACAACTTACTTGTCGGTCAGCGAAATGTCGGTAATCGACAACTCGCTGACCGACAACTTGTAAAAAACGAAAACTTGCTGACCGACAATTTGCTGACCTGTTCAACGCACATAAGCAAAATTTACGCGAAAATTAAAATCTACGTTTATTTCATGAAAAAGAAGCACTACAGTGACATTCAGTGACTAAACGAGACCCCCAACGACCTCGGGACTTTATTTTAGAGCAAATCTGACCTCGGGATAATTTTCAGCGCATTTTTCTGATATAGAAACCATTTTCAAAAATTTTTTTTGAAAGAAAAAATTTCTGACTGCCGGGCCCCATACACCCACCCGTCACCTTAGGCGGTTGCAATGGCGCCACTAACAAAAACTTTATTTTTGCCTTTAGAACACTTTTTCTAGGTAAATCGACATTGCTGATTTCGAATATGCGATCAGAAAAATTATTTGAGTCGAAGAACAGAAAATTTTTCGAAAAAATAAAATTTTGCAGATTTCCGTCGAAAAATTTGAATACGCAAGATTCTTCTTTAAGATAACTAATACAAGGTTTCTAACAACATATTCAGAATCAGCGATATCGATTTACCTAGAAATTAGTGTTCTAAAGGCAAAAATAAAGTTTTTGTTAGTGGCGCCATTGCAACCGCCTAAGGTAACGGGGGGGGTGTATGGGGCCCGGCAGTCAGAAATTTTTTCTTTTCAAAAAAAGTTTTGAAAAATGGTTTCTGTATCAGAAAAATGCGCTGAAAATTATCCCGAGGTTAGATTTGCTCTAAAAAAAAGTCCCGAGGTCGTTGGGGGTTTCGTTTAGTCACTGGTGACATTTATAACTGAAATCTGTTGTTTGTTGTTGTTGTCTTAGTTAATAATAATTATTTATTAATGTTTTTATATATATATATTATATTTATAATTACACCGGTGGTATTCGGTCTGCGGCGTAAGTATCTGTATCACCATCAAAACTCAAAATTTAAACTTGTATCGTTAGTGGTAAAGTGTTTCTGCACAGCGAAAACGGATTTCGTTACTGCATATGCGCACAATAGCATCCTGCTGTTTGCACAACCTGGAAACAAATATCTGCCAGTAACAGTATTGTTCATTGCATTTGTACTTGTAGCATCTTTGTAGCCTTTTATTCGAAATGGTGTTTTTGTTTATTTGTTTATCACAATGATTCGATGGATAACAAAATAAACTGGTGGTCAGCGAGTTGTCGGTATTTCCACGAATCGTCGGTCAGCAAAATGTCGGTCAACAAATTAGTATGTAAGCAAATTGTCGGGTAAACATTTTGTCAGTCAACAAAATGTCGTCAGCAAATCGTCGGTGTCAGCAAACTGTCGTTCAGCAAAATGTTGGTCAGCGATTCGTTGTTTCAACAAACTGTCGGGTCAACATTTTGTCGGTCAGCAAATAGTCGTCAGCAAGTTGTCGGTCAGCAAGATGTCGGTCAGCGAGTTGTCGGTGCGCCCGTACAGATACATTCTGGCTTATGTGGCTTCTGTCTAAATAATAAGAATACATCAAAAGAATCTCCACTAAATGATAGAAGAATGCTGTATCTCTGTGTGGTAATAAAGCACCAACGGATAGTGCACACACGTATAAGACTTGACTTACTATGGAGGTTTGTATACCGGTACATGTATATGAGTTGGCAACTGGCATGTTCTTCGCATGTTTCGCTGCGGCGGCACAATGCGTCCCGTAACATGAAAATTTTTGGAATTAGATCTCATTAAGCGATACGCATTGAGTGTTACGGTCGGGCATTATCAACGGTAGACACGAATTATCGAGATTATCATCTCAAGATAGCATTAACTGATTGCACCGCCGATGTTAGACATCAAATGAGCACAGGCATATGTTATAGCTACGGGTGGCCAGGCGGGGAAAATTTAATATCATGAATACTTGTACTTCTATTATCAACGTACGAGTTACTTGTAGCTCTTGAAATACTAGTACTCTAGGCCAGGTTTTCTTTTCGGCACCGTTGACTATTTCCTGCAACGCATCGCACTTTGCGTCTGTCAAAAACGTGGAAAGGTATTTGTTAAACCAATTCAGTTCAGATGCGTGTTCTTAAAATTTATTCTCGCGGATTTTGGTTTTACTGGCTTTCTCTGGTCCATGGGGTTTCACTGGTCAGTTTTACACGGTCATGTTTAAACAGTAAAAAAATATTGCAGTCCATTAAGACTAATGCAAAAGTGCCGAACTTGGTTTGCACTTTGCAGGATAATAATTTTCCTGCTGCTAAGCATTCAGTTACTATATTTATCTTGAATAACATAATTGCAAATGCGAATTAGCAAGTAATGTCAGTATTTTTTAACCAATGAACTACTAACCGGCGACCGCGGCCTAATTTTTCATATCGGCTTCATTCGAAATGCTATACGGCATAATTACGATGTTTTTGTTGTGATTGCTGTTTTCCCTGTGCGCTGGTACGGCTGAACTTGTGATTTTGGATTATTTGCTTTATTGATTCTTTCTCTGCACTGCAAGTTTTCCGGTCTTCATTTGTAAGAAGTTTCCAAACGAGCTTCCGTTTTATTCAGAACAAGAGCATCTCAAACAACCCACCATCTTACGGGAACTTCAATGCACACATGCAAACACTGATCCAGGAGCGTTGCCGGTTGGGGGATACTACTGTATAGAACCTTCGGCCTTTCTCTGTAGGTTTTAACTTCACGCGGAGACTGCAATCCGGTTACAAGAAACGGAATCCTAAAACGTATGCGGTCCGTGCATTTGTCGTTGCCGATATAACGTGTTGCGCGTATCGCCTTCTTCCTTCTGGCCTAATCGCTCAGGCATCCTGTTACCCGTCCGTTAACTCAATACGATACGATACCAGGTCGCACACGTGGTGTGATAAATGCCCTCTGCTTTTGCCACTTCTATAGTGGGGTGGTGGTTTATTGCTTAATGAAAAGCGGGTCACTTACAGTTACAAGCACGATCTACGGTTGATGCTGTGAGCGCAGGCGTACATGCGTACACCCTCGCTTTGGCAGTCTGTTGTGTTTTGCTGCACGCCCGCCTTACGCGTGGCGGAAGCACGCTGTTCTGCACGCACCCGCACTGTGTGGCGGCTACGTGCGCATTTTCCACGCTTGCTGCAGTCAGCAATGCGGAGTTGTCCATGAGGAAATTCTATCGAATTTAGGCTGTTCATAAATTCCTAGCAGTCACGCCATTTCTCGCTTTCTATAGCGTAGGCGCTTTTATAGCATTGCTAGGCTTTTTGGTAGGCAGAATTCCGTCAATTCTGTTCCTACGCGTGAACCTTCACCAGGTCCACGCTCATATGGTAGCAAGAGTCGTGTTTCTCCAGAATAATCTCTGAAGTTTTTCCCGTCCATTTGACGAGGTGTGGAAGAAGTCTCCCGCGAGAAAGGGCTCGCGTACTGATCGGTGGCGAAGGAGCGTCTGGATCTCAGCAGATCAGCATCAGTGTGTCTCTACTGAGTAGAGCACGCTGTACTGACCTGACGCGATCAAGGCTACTGAAGTAGCTTTGATTGGAGGGGCACAAGCGCCGAGAAAGATCGCCGCAAGAGGCAGAAGCCCGAAGGGGGGCACGAGTGGGCAAGCCACTTTTGGCTGTCGGGTGTGGAGTTTCAGGTGCGTCTCTACTGAGTAGAGCGCACACACACATTATACGCGCTCTCCCAAAAGGGTGATCGAGCGCCCCTGTCGTTGCCAACGTCAAGGCGCGACAGAAGACCCGCAGCCAGCAAGCTATTTGGTCGACGCACCGTTGCGTCCCGTTGAGGCGAAACGGAAGGGGTTATCGGCTGGCCCAGGAGAAGTCAGCTTAATCGCTGGAGGATTGGAGGAATCGCGGAAGGACGCGCAGGATCGATTTCTGGATCACGGAGACGATCAGGTCAGATTTTCGTTTATTAATTTAGCTATTGGCTGATTGGTAAAATCCTCAATTCTTATTGGTCGGTGATGAGCTGAGCGAAAAGTAGGCGGTACTTTTGCGCACGGCGCGCTAGCTAAAATTTTCGATTTTCGACGTGACGTCACTCTGCCTTATAATCTGAAAAACAACGTTTCTGATTGGTCAGTTATTCGCACTGTGATTGGCGCAGTAGCGTAGTTAGGAAATTAGCCAATTAGAAGCTGAGATTTCGATAGGAGGCGGAGTTTTTGCGCACGGCACTTAAGATCGTGACGTAGCCAGCTGAGAAAATTTTCTGAATCGACTGACGAGAAGTTGACCTTTACCAAAATTTCGACGAGAATGATGACCTTTATTAAAAGTTGAAAGCTGAATAAATAACGTTTATTCTGAGGAAATCTAAGTTGATTTCTCAATAAAATCGAAAAATATTCTCAGGTTAGACGTTCTAGAACGAAGTTGATAGTGACCTTTAAAACAGAAAAGTTCTGAAGGAAAAAGTTACCTATAACGCGACGGAGTAAGCTATTAAGCTGAAACAGTGGGAAATTAATCTCATTTTACTAAAGGAAGTGACCTTTAGAAGGGACTTAGCATTTTTTGAGGCAGAGTGACCTTTAGTAAAATTGAGCTGATACAAAAGGAGGTGACCTTTAGGACAGCACTTGTTTCTGTTTACGTGTAAAGGGGCTTACGTAGCTAAAACTAACACACGTGTCAGAAACATTATTAGCATCGTCCAAGTTATCCGATCATCAACGGAAGCCAAAGATATGGACCAAGACACAGACGGTAATGAACCGGTCTCATCGAGCAGTCAGAGAGAACGGTCTCAGGGGTTAGAAAACCCTTACGAACGGAAACTAAAGCCGTACACACGGCCCGTGGAACATGAAAGAGCAACTCTAGCTCAAAAGACCTTTGGGAGGAAGGACGCCAGAGGCTCAGAGGCCACATATCAAACGGCCCTGAGGGAAACTCAGAACGAAAGCTCGAGTGACGGAAATGGAAAAAGCTCCGAACGACATGTCGGAGATAACACGGTAGACCAAGCAAAGGTCACCGAAGAGAGAACGGCTTCAGATGGACAGAACAAAGATGACAAGAAGGCCGAGACCGGAGGAATGGCACGGTCGGCCGAAAAGGTCAAGGAGGAAAACGCGGATCAAGTTGAGAAGGGAAGTGACGAAGTCAGTCAAAAGGTCACCGAAGGTAGTGGCGCCGTCAGCAGCAACGAGCTGATCGACGAGGGAAAGGTCAAACAGGATGACCTTTCGGAAAACTCACTGTTCTTACAAGAACAGCTGGAAGAGAACGGTACCAGCCCCACGTCAAGTGACAAGTTTTACACTGACGATGAAGACGAAACGACGGTACAGACGTCTTTCCATACGGCAATGAAGGAGGCAAACTTAACGAAAGGGATGTTTGATACGACCCTCCAGGACAAGCCAGAAGAGACCTTTGAAGGAATGGCGTCAGGAAGAGCCGACGACCCGGACCAAAGGTCACCATCACCAAAAACATCCGTAATGAATGGATTAAAGCAGCGTGTCAAGGAACTAGAACAACTCCTCGACGAAAAGGAAGCGCAAGCTTTCGCTGCGATACGGGACCAATGCAACAAAACCTTTGAAGTCGAAGCCAGATTGAGCGTGATGGAACAAGAAAAGGTCACGTTCGAAGATGAAGCGCAACAATGGAAAGTCAGATTTGAAGGTCAGAAAAAAGCTGCAGAGGATCTGAGGAAAATGGTCGAAGATCGAGACGCGGAAGGCATACTCACCGCAGAAGAAGACGGTCTGTCCGAGGAAGCAGCTGAAAGGTCACAGGAAATAGCAGAATTGAAAAATGAGCGTGACCTTTTACAGTCAAAGGTCAAGGAGGCCGAGAAGAAACGTGACGAATCTCTAGCAAATGCGACGAAGTTCACCGGAAAGGTCACCAGTTTGACGGCTGACATCTCGAAATTGAAGGATGACCTTAAATTACGCGAAGACCTTGTCAACACGTTACAAACAGAATTAAAAGAGATGAAAAGGAAACACAACGAAGCGGAAAACCAGAGAGATCAAGCAGCAAAGGAACTGCTTGAACTGGCCGAAATAACAAAAACTGAATTCAAGCGACTCAATGACGAAATCGACAACCAAAAGAAAGAAGCAAAGAAGTGGTTGAAGGAAGCACAACGGTGTGACGAACGGGTCACTGTCCTAGAAGTCGTGAATAAAGAAGGAAAGACAGAAAATGAAAAACAAAAAGAAGAGATCGCCAAATTGAGCGACGAATCAGTCGGATTGGCTACTTCCGTAATGGAAAAGGATGATAAAATTACGGAACTAAAAGCCCAACTGAAAGTAGTCGAGGAAGAGTGCCAAGCGAGAGGAAGGACCCTCGCAGACAGAGCGGATCGTATCACACGGTTGGAAGCAGAAGCTGAGATCCTAAAAGCAGCAAAAATGGATCTCGATAAGACTCTCGATAATCGAGCAAGTACAATCCTCGAGCAAATGAGAAAGGTCACCGAAGCAAACAACGATTATGAGAAGCTCAGGAAAGACGCAAACGAAACCGTAAAGCAGCTGCAGCAGACAGTCAAACAAAGAGAGGAAGAAATTAAAACTTTAAAACGGTCGGCAAAACAAAAGGAAGGAGAGGCAAAACAGCCGGAACGGATCGAATCTCCACCCCCCGGATATGGCGAAGTCCACACCGTCGAAGGTAGCTTCCATTTCCAAGCTCCCTTAAAGACGGGGACTGGCCGAAGCGACGGCCATGATGAAGATAAGGTCAAAGCTGAAAAGGTCACCGACGATACTGAGTTGGCGAAGGGGCACTCAGGACCGATCGGTGGGGTCAATCCTCGGCAACAAGAAACAGGACCGAGGGAAACAATCGTCTACAAATCTGACCATCAGCCAGACAATCATGAAGATCCACGAGTTCGCCAAAACGAGCAGGAAAGGGTAGCTCGTGAAGAGGAGAGGCGAGAAAGAGAGTACCGCGCGGAATACCACGCTGAAGCACAGCGACTCCGTCGCGAAGAACGGGAATTCAGAGGTTACATGAGAGCCATGGCCCGAAAATCCGCGTTGATCGACTACAACGGCAACCGAGAAGCTTTACTTGGTTGGATCCGTCAGGTCAAGGAGACTCAGAAGACGTATGACCTTTCGGATGCAGCAATGATGCTGGAAGTCGCCAACGCAGTCAAAGGGGACGCGAAGGCATGGTTTGATGCGGAAAGAGAAATTGATGATGAGGAAGAGGCGGAAGAACTAACCGTCGACGAATGGATGACGAAGTTCAAAGAACATTTTGGCGATCGTGACGAAGGGGTCAACGCCTTAAGAGAAGCGATGACAAGAAAGTTCGAGGCTGGCAAAGAAACGCTTGACCAGTTCTATCAGGCGATCATGCGCTTCAAGTCGAAACGGATCATAACTGAGAAGCAGGCTATCGGATTCCTGATTCAAGGATGTAAGAACGACAGTGACCTTTATAAGGCACTTCGAGCACAGAAATTCCATAACCCAATGGATATCAAGGAATTCTTCCGCACCTGGTCGACTGGCGAAGAAAAGTATAAGGTCACGAGAGGCAACCGAGTCCAAGATGATTGCGTGATCATCCGATCGCGCCAGATCGAAGAAGTCGCGAATGGGCGACAGAACCAGTCGTACTCGGCGCAGGTACCAAGATATAACACGGAATTTCCGCCTTTAGGCACTCAAGAGGTGACCTTTGACAACGAGCGAAATGAAGGTCAGATATCGTACGCGACGATCGCGGCGATACAGACAGCGGTCCAAGAAGCGACCAAGCCTGCGATCGCGGCGATCCAAGCATCAGCTCAGCAAGCAGCAAGGCCAAAACAGAATCCACAAGGAAACGTGCAAAGAAATGCCCTGAATGGAGGGCTTGGCGGTCAGGGAATGGCTCAAGGGAATCCGGGCTTTGCCGGCCAAGGATTCAACGGTGGCGGAGGAAATCAAGGAAACTTCCGACCGAACCGTGGACAAGGAAATCAAGGACCACGATACGGGTCGCGAGTAGAGCGCCTGTTCACCATGATCGACGGATGGGTGGCCAATAACGCGCTGACATGCCAGAACTGCATGTACGGTAACCACCACACGCAAGCGTGTTCGTTTGCGGGAACACCGTGGAATCAGAACCCCAACAGGGTCGTGTATGAAGAATGGTTGATGCTGCGTAACAATCATGGTGGATGGCGCAACGCAATGGCAAATGGTTATGTGCCACAATCACGCCAAGGTGGACGGTATGCCGGTCAAGGTGGCCAGGCCAACTGCTGTCAATCAAGGCGGCCAGGGTAATTTCTGGTACAACCCCGGTGGTCAAGGTGGCCAAGGAAATCCTGCCGGAGGCCAGGCAACTTCGCCGGTCACGGTGGCCAAGGCGGAGGAAATGGCGGATATGGTCCGGTGAGAGGAGGCTTCCGAGGAAGAGAAGAGGCCGTGGCGGCAATCGCGGAAATTACGGCGGTGGCCAATGGAATGGTGGTGGTCAAGGTGGCCAATGGAACGGTGCTGGTCTGGAGAGCCAGTGGAATAACGGTGGTCAAGGTGGCCAGAATTTTGCCGGTCAAGGTGGCCAGGGCAATTTCGCCGGTCAAGGTGGCCAGGGCGACTTCGGCGGGCAGCAAGGCGGCTTCGTCGGTGGGAACCAGAACGGTTTCGGTCAGCAAGGCGGAGGCTTTAACTTCGCCCCGGCGAATGGTGCCGGTCAGGCGCAAGGTGCGCCGGTTCAGGGAATGGCCCAGGGAAACGTTCAAGGTCAGTAGGCGCCGGTGAGCCTACTGATCGTCCGGAACCGAAACCACCGGATATAGAGGAGCAAGGTGCTCCGTTGCAGGCAAAGACCGCAGCGAGAAAGGGATGCTGAGAAAGTAACGCAAAGACCCGGAAAAGAAATCCGAGGATTCGAGAAAGTAACTCGAAATCGAGCGAAGGGGCTCGTAAAGGTCAAGAGAAGGGTGTAAAAAGATTGCCGCAAGGACGGAAGAATTTGACCGAAAGGTCACCGCAGAAAGTAACTGCGGGGAGTCAAGAAAGTAACTTGACTCAACCGGGGCCGACCGAAAGGTCACCGCAGAAAGTAACTGCGGGGAACAGGGTTGACGGAAGGGCCTCAACTCTGCATCCGGGACAGCAGAAAGTAACTGCAAACCAAGGAGGTCACGAAAGTAACGTGACGCTGCAAGGACAGCAGACCCAAAGGTCACCGCGGAAAGCAACCGCGAGGAAGAGTGAAGCTACTCTGCGAAAGACGCAAGCGGAAATCTCAAGCGAAGAGGATGATGAAACACATCACGCGAGATTCCGAAAGTTCGTCGAAAATACGTTTGAATTTGACGGAATGACCGTAACCGTACAACGAACGCACGAAGGCGGTCCGGATAGACCGAAATTCCTTGAGCAGATGGCAAAAGTATTTCAAGCAAGAGCTGCCGAGGAAGATCACGGAAGGGCCGTGACTGCGCAAGGAGCGCAAGAGACCGAAAGGTCACCTCAAGCGAGAGTTGAAGAAGTGAAAGGTCACGAGAGATTGCCAGTGCAGCAGACTCAAGAGTCACTGAAAGAGAAAGGTCACGGTGAAGTCGCCGATGAACCGAAAGGTCAAGAAAGTAACTTGACTCTGCGAATGGCGCAGCAAACAGTGAAACAGAGCGAAGGGGCACAGCAAGTCTCAGATGACTCTCTCGATGAGGCAAACACTCTACAACAGAAGATGGAGTGGCAAAAAGTCGCTTACAGACCGAATGGACGGCACGGTATGTGGAAACCAGTTCCTCCGCCGCAAAGGTCACCGCAAGACGTGAGAAATTCCAGAGAAGCTTACTGGGAGGAAAGAGAGAAACAAGATTGGCGGATGAGAAAACATCTCGAGGAAATGGTTAAAGCTTCACAACCGAAAGTACAAGACTACTGGAAAGAGAAAGTCCAATGCGACGAAAATAACCGTCAGTTTCGAGAGCGGATTGAGAAGGGTGAATTACCGCCTCAGTATGGTGAGAAAGTACCTTTACAAAGGTCACTAAATGGCGGATTTTTCATGTCAAGACCGGAAAGGTCACCGGACTTAGCGCAAACTCCGCAGAAGGAGAAGTCGTATGACATGACAGAGGCAATCCGGAATGACAACGAAAGGTCACCGCCAAGAACTGACGGATTGTCATCTCAAATCGATCCAACTCGCACGAATAACGAAATTGCGAAGAAAATTACAGATTGGATGAAAGAAAACGACCATAAGATGGTTGTGTACGAAAGGTCACCAGAGAAGAAGAGTGAAGATGACGAGATGACCTTTGCGGATGAAATTACGCAAGAGATAATGGCAAAGTTGCAAGATAAGCCGTCTAAAGACGTGCGCAATGAAAAGTCACAATACGAAGTTATTGCGCAAGTGATAAAAGGTCACGAGAACGCACAAGAGAAGGGTTTGACGTGCGAAGTGGCAAAGGTCACGGGTAAAGAAAACGCTGCGAAGGAGCAAGCGAATATCTTACCGAAGTCAAAAAGGATCGAAAAGTTCTCAGATGTGCGACCCGACGTACCGAAACGGATAGATCGTTGGAGCTCAAAAGGTCTGATAGAGAGCAAGCACGCTGCACCAATCCCAGTCAAGTGTAGAATAAGAGTCTTGAAACTCGAAGATGGAAACTTACCGAAACGGATCGAAGCTTATACACATGAAGTCAAAATTGGGAATAAAAAAGGTCATGGCAATGCTTGACACTGGCGCAGAGACGTCTTTGATTTGTCAACAGTTCTGCGAGAGAGGAACGGCCTCCAGACTGTCAGACTTCCACCGAAAAAGAAGGTGATGATCAAAGGGATCAGTGGAACGTCAGGCTTTGAAGTAACGCACTACTGCGTAGCACCAGTGACCTTAAGAAGGAAAACCAGTCAACACTCATTCTACGTCAGACCAGCGTCAGACGACGTCCAAGTCCTACTGGGATTCGACTTCCTCGCAAAGAAATTCGTCCTGATAGACGGACACGACGAGGAAGAAAGAGAAACTGAAGCTGAAGACGATGAGCCAAAATCATCCGCAAAAGTTAATGCAGGAAAGGTCACCGAACTTCAACCAAGAAATAATTCAAGTAACGGCTATCCCAGTACCAGAGGCACAGGGATCGAAAGAAAATAAGCAAAATGAGAATGGTGAAAATCTAATCCCAGTACCAGAGGCACAGGGATTAGAAAATGCTGAAAGAAGCAAAAGGTCACCGAAGTCTAAAGGAAATCAAAGGTCACCAACGATGAAACAAATCAAGATAATGCAAGCAGAAGCACTGATTGCAAAGAAACAGTCGCTAGTGCCAGGAATGGAGTGGTCAAGGCTACTCCCAGTACCAGAGGCACTGGGCACGAGAATGGTTGGGCCCAGGACAGAGCCAGGACTGATGAACAGCGACGAAAGAGCACTATTCTCGGAAATACGACATCAAGCCATAAAGCAACTGGATGCAAGGAAAACGGAGCATGGTGCTCAACACACTTTCGAACCACGTGATAAAGCAAGAGGGCGGATGAAAGGTCGAGACACGCGCCTGCGCAAAGAGGTAGCAGAGAGTAGTCGTCGTCTTACTTCCGAACCACGCTCTGCAGATGAAGAAATCGAAGTCATCGAAATATCATCAGATAACAGCGTAATCGAAATCGAAAAAGATGACGAATGGACAGATACCGATTCCGGAGAAACGGATAAGCGAGTTATCGCCCGTCCCGAACCGAGACAACGGATGCCGGAAGGGAACAATCGCGTCATTTCCCGCAAACCGAGAGAATGGACTGCGGAAGAGAGAGCAACCTCTTGCCATCACGATTGGCACGACAGCGATGACCTTTCGATAGCGCGACCTCAAGAAAGATGTGCAAAATGCATGCAAGAAATGACACAAGATGACCTTTCGGAGTGGCCGAAATGCAATGCAGCAATTGCACGTCATAAAAGACAAGAAGAGAAAGAGGTCAAGTCGATTATGCGAACACTTCCCATGCCGGAACTGTCAAAAGCAACTTACCTTTGGCAATGTTATCGAGAATGGTTATCGGTAGTCAAGAACTACATCATCTCCAGAGGGAAGTGGCTCCATCATTGGCAGCAAGAAGCGGACAACTTCATTCCCGAAAAAGCGGATAAAAGCGACCCATGGTATACAAACCCGATTACAAAGCTCGACAGAGAAAGGCGACGAGCAATGGAAGAGAACGAAATATGGGAACAAGCTAGGGTTGACTTATTCTGGGAATTCAGAGTCAATTACCTATGGAAAGGTCAAGGACGAGCGATCATTTTCCCAATCGGACTCGGCACAGTAATGTACGAATTATTTGACCATTACCAGGCCTGCCTCAAAAAGGGAAATTTAAGAGAATGGAACAAACAATGGGGCAAAATCCTCGAAGAAGTACCGATATATACAGGAGAAATCCCTGAATTAAAGGTCACGCGAAAAAGACGCGTACTCGGATTATTTGGCTATCTGAGAAAAAAGAAGGTGACCTTTGCACCAGATCCAGATGGAGTGGAGTATCCCGAAAGAGGCGGAGATACTTGGTGCATGTATGAGACGGTACCGAACAATGACTGGACTACAGAAGAACTGATGGCAAATTGCGTCTTTATCGGCGATAAGAGACCGAAAGGTCACGGCACAAGCGCTGAAAAAGAAAGCGGCACAAGCGCCGAAGAAGAAAAGAACAAAGATAACGGCACAAGCGCCGAAGAAACCAAAGAAAAAAGAACAAGAGGTCAGCACAAGTGCTGCTCAAGAAAACGGCACAGGCGCCGAAGAAGAGGAACCCTCACATACACCGTATGAGTTAGCTCAGATGATCAAGGAACTGAACCAGGCGATTCGGGACAAGGAAAACGGAATCCCGGTAACAGAGGCAAAAAAGGCTCAAATGTCGCCGCAAGAAAAGAAAGCAGCGTCGTTAGTGGCTTCACTACAAAGGTCACTCGGTAATGGCGAGGAAAGGCCGCCAACCGAGAAGAACGAAAGGTCACTAAACGCGATGCTGGAAGAAGAGCCAGAAAGGTCAGTTCCGAAAGTTGACGAAAGGTCACCTGAAACCGGCGAGGAAGGGCCGCCAGTTGGAAAAGCAAAAAGGTCACAGAATACCGCTCAAGCAGATGATAGCTCGGAAGACGATGAAAGGGATAGGTCACGAGCAAGGATTCGCGCAACACGAACAAATCCAAGGATAGCTGCACGAAACGGACGGAAGTCCAAGGAAACGGACAAACCTCTGCCCGAAAAACGAAAAGCTAAAAAACTTAGCGCTCCCAAGGATGAAAG